CATATGATTAGCTCTGTTCGATAGCGGAGCTAAAAAAAACAGATTGACAATGTTTTAATTTGAAAATCATATTTGGTTGATTATTCCACATGATCTACATTTACATAATTTATTTTCATGCACAATATCATAATTATCAATTATCGGATGGGTGAAAAATAGTTTAAACACGTACTGTGCAACAATCATTGTCTCACCCACTTCAAAATAACAATATTCAAGTCTCACCTATATGCTTCAAGACCGGAAAATATTCCATTCTCAGTTGTATCCGCATTTGAGTCTCTAAGAAAGTCATTTAACATAAGCCTCGCAAACGATTTTTGTACCAATTTACAATACGGTGAATGAAAAAACATAGCGTCAAAGTGTTCAAGCGAAAAGGGACCAGTCTCTCCATCTGCAATGAAAGCAAATAACATACAGTAACAGTTAAACGTTCCAATTAATTTCGGTCATGTTTCGATTTTGACTGAAATATTCGACCACAATCAGCTCTACTTCTAACTAAATATTACAAAAGAACATTTTATCTACTGTCAGATTTATCAAGAAATAATAACGCTAAGAGAGATTTATATAGCAGCTGTGAATTCACATTCTTTGTACTATTGATAATTCCACCTATAAATGAATGTAGGCCATTCCTATAATGGAATCACACAGCTCAATATGGGAAAGAAGACACATTGCATACTGCAATGAATGAAATTGATGAATTTATATGAAAACAACTTAAATTATAATATCAAGTTTTTAAAAATTTTCAGGGAATTTTGAAATTTTTTTTTTTGCAGGGAATCACAGGAACGTTTTTGAAATCAGATCCCTGGGAATTCCCTTTTGTTATTACATTACTAATTCATGTCCACAACAAGTCATTGTCAATGACACGTCCCCGTTCCGTTCATATTTGAGTGACATAAACATTTTGTACATTCAAAGCAAATCATGACCGAAATCTCAGACCACTTTCAGTGGTCTGATCCGAAATGCACCTGCATATGTACAACACATTGTACTAAATCTGAACAAAATCCATCCATGCATGACTGAGATCCGGAATTGTGAAAATATGTGATTTTGATGCATTTTCGGCCTTAAAATGGCCATCATTCAGCTATTGTTAAACGGATCATGAAACAAATGCACATATCTATTTGTGACATGATGTACCATGTGTGTGTGAAGTTTAAACTTCACCAGACATATCTCGGATACGGATCCAGAACTGAATTCTTTAAAACAAAATGGCCGCCAGTCGGCCATTTCGAACTTTATCTGAAAAAAAAAGACGTGCATCAAGGTCCTATTATGTTTAATGTATTTACCAAATTTGAACAAAATCTGTCCATGCATAACTGAGATCCGGGTCCGGAATGGTGAAAATGTGCGATTTCAATGCATTTTCGGCCTTAAAGCGGCCGCCATTTGCCTTTCGTTAATGAGATCATGAAACAAATGCACATACATATTTGTGACATGATGTACCATGTGTGTGTGAAGTTTGAACTCGATTAATCCAGGTATGTCTCAGATACGGAACCAGAACTGAATTCTTTAAAACAAAATGGCCGCCAGTCGGCCATTTCGAACTTGATCCGGAAAAGAAATGACGTGCATCAAGGTCCTATTATGTTTAATGTATGTCCCAAATTTGAACAAAATCAGTCCATGCATAACTGAGATCCGGGTCTGGAATGGTGAAAATGTGTGATTTCAATGCATTTTCGGCCTTAAAATGGCCGCTATTCGGCTATCGTTAATCGGATCATGAAAAAAATGCATGTGCATATGTCCCATATAATGTGCGATGTATGAGTGAAGTTTGAACTTAATCGGTCCATACATGTTCGAAATACAGGTGATTACGGACGCACAGATGCACGGACGCACACAGGGCAAAACATAAGTCCCCGTTTTCGGACTACGTTCGAACGGGGACTAAAAATGTAATCATTTATTTTTATATTTACAAATATTTTCGTGCCAATAGGCGACAGTTCAATTTAAAGTCACTAATTCATCTCTTGTTTTTACTGCGCAAATTGCTAGAGCTGATGGTACATATACTTATACATGTAGAGCTTATTTCACAGAAACCATATTTCATGCTTAGGACTACATGGCTGTACTGTGACCATCTTTCTATCATAACAGTTTTATGGCAATTTAATGCACTACCCTGACAGAAACCTGGTCTGGTCGAACACAAGCACCTGTGGATCATAAAAAAGGTTCCTCTAAAGTGGAATTCAATAGTTGAATGAAGCCCCAATGGATTTGGGCTTCCCATTGACTCTGTGGCATAAAAACCCAGGAATTTTATTCCCAGGGGGGGGGGGGGCATATCTGGTAGGATCTGAACTGGATCTATTGATCAAAGGTTTGATTTAAAAAAAAATGTACTAGCACTGGTTTGTACATTACCTTTTAACATCTGCATTTCTGCTTTCATAATATACCGTTGATAACATTTATCTAACGCACTTGGATAACACTGTATCGAAAGTTTACTATCCACAATAGGAAATTCAGATGATAAATCCGGTTTAAAAAAGTCATAAACATGCTGCATATGTGTTCCTCTTAAACCTAAGAAAATAAATACACAGGATAGCATTTATATTAAAGTGGGAGGGTTGTCACCTGTACACGCACGGAAATTGAGTCTCAAGCGATGATAACAACACTCACTAAAAACGCAAAGGCTCATGGGTAGGCGCTTGTTTGTAAACAATGACACGCTATGGCCACCTGACGCATGCATACGTGTCGACTCCTCCGCTTTAAGAAGTGTAATAGTTTACAATTCAAACAAGATCACTTTTGTCCAGGGTACACATGACGATTTAATTCATCTATAAAAACATATTGACGGTCCAGTTTTATTTCAGTTAATCAGCTGGGATTTAGAAATAATTTTTGTGTATATATCTGAGTAAATTACTGTAAGAGACAATATATTTACATGAGTGAAAATTTCAGTTAGTGACTCTGTCTTCATAAAATCATTAGGTCATAAAAACTTCCTACAGCGAAATCAGTATTAAATATTACATTGACAAGCAGGAGTGTGTTACCCTGATATTCTGGCTCCCAGACCCCCTCCCCCAATACTAAAAAAAGGACCCTTATTTTAATCCAAGAATATATACCAATTTTGATAAAGACATAGGTACATATACATAATATATTGTCAATTCTTTTTATTTTTCTCATTGGGACTCGCTATATGAAAAATCCCTGGTGATGAGATATTCTCTCCAACATTAAAGTTTTGAAATGAACACATTAACAACAACGTGAGAAGACTGTAATTACCTCTTTCTATGACTAATGGTGCATTAGGTCCTATAAGCATTGCTACTGATCCAGCACCACCAGTAGGCCTAGCATTACCAGTGGCATACACAGCTATATCACCTGCTACAACTAATGCATATCGACCTGCAAATAGCAACAATATTATATAGTTAATATTAACCAGCCATAACTAGCATACACCGACCTATATGTATAAACAACAATAAATTATACAGTTACAACAAATACACACTGACAATGTAACAGGGCTTGACATTAACATTTAAACTGACTTGTTCCAAATTAATGTTGCCTATATATTTACTTAAGTCTTTTAAGGCAAGCAATTTACTATTCAGTTGTTTGAATAGCAATTTTACCCACAGTGCCCTGCGTAAACAACAACAATGAGAGTGAGAGATGCCGCAAGATAATATTGTCAAATTCTCTCCCATTATTGCATCATTGTTACCCAGACTGTGGTATTCGAAACAGAGTCATGACGGGGAAAAAAACATTATATGAGAGTCAAAAATAAGTATTGTGGCTCTCGCTCTCAATGAGATCTTGACCGCAATTTAGGTCTAATGTTTATTTATAGGTTACTATGAACTGCTGAACATCACAATAATTTATGTTCCATCTGACAACATTGATGCTTTCATTCAATATTACATTGTATGACTCCATCTGGTATTAGTGTTCATTACATGTACATGCATAATGTACATATCCCAGAGTATGTCACATACTTGACACAATAATGTTGTTTGGAACGTCTGTGTTTCCATAAGGTACATTAACTATGGTCCATATGTATAATGTGGTCTATATACAGTAATAGCAAAATCTCATTTTCAGAATTATTATTTAATTACTTAAATATTGGAATGACCCAAATAATATGCAAATTTGCATATTAATATTTTTACTGAATGATATCACTTACTAAGCATAAAAGTTATATTACCCTTCATTTTCAGAAAGCCTCTCGATGGTTAAAATAACAGTCAACTGAACAAACCATATTCAACTCTATGTTTTATGATTTACATTGAAAATAAGTTCCCAAGTCTACAATTAACCATAGCAATTACAACAGCAGATATTTTCCCCTGCTGGTATATAAGTATGTTGTCCAGGTACAAACAGCCTGTCGGCTGAGATAGCTCCACTATTAGCAATGCACATTGCAATTAAAGAACAGAAGATATCATTAGAAAATGAACAATATGTATAGTATCAAAGCAATCACACTTGCTGTTTTCAGAAGTCGAAAATATCACTTTTTACCAAAAATTAAAAAATATTAATCAAAATTGGAGAATTGAAGATATCATCATGAAAAGAATAAATCTGCGAGAGGTCTAGGTCCAGATGTAGTAGTTATACATGTAATATCAAAGCAATCAGACTTGTGGTTTTTAACAAGAAGTCAAAAATATCATTTTTTATCAAAAAATACAAAAACATTTACAAAAATTGGAGAATTGAAGATATCATCATGAAATGAGCAAATCTAAGAGATGTCTACCCAAGGTACATATATACCAAGTATCAAAGCATTCAGGCTTGTACTCATATGATAAGCTTTGCTTGACAAAGTTGACAGCGGAGCTAAAAATGAAAGTGAAATAGACAAATTCTCTTACCATCCCATGCACTGGATTCAACCCAGGCAAGTGCATTGAACAACGCTGCTGTCCCGCCATAACATGCGTTGGTTGTATCGATTCCTTCAATATTTGTATTACCGCACTCTTCAAATAGCTGCATCAATACAGTTTTTGTACTTTTGGATTTATCAATAATAGTTTCAGTACCGACTTCAAGTCGTCCAATCGACTCGTACGATATATCGTAATTTTGCATCAGCTTTTGAACCACCGTCAGACACAGTGAGTTGATATCCTCTCTATCTGAGCAGAACCCCATTTTATCTTGACCCAAACCGATGGTATACTTTCCCGTAGAAACACCATCAAATATCTCCAGCTCTGATTGGTCAACATACTGAGAGGGAAAGTACACTTCCAGTGCAATTATACCAACATCATCAGGCCACCCAACGACCTCTTTAGTGTCGGAACTTGGCATGCTGATACCTGAGACAAAATTTGTATTAAAACAAATTAATAATTTGACAATTAACTTCCCATAACAATATTTCAAATATATTACTGTTGTTTCCACAATTTTTAAAATGATAATGTTGAATACACACATGGCTTGAAATTTACGCTAAAGTGTGGTCCCCTAACATGTAACGTTTTGATAATGACCATGAAACAGAATGTTTCAAATCATATTTTACAGGATGAAATTATAGCTGCTATTAAAGAGACCAAGTTTCTAGGGTAATAATAATTTTAAACATCAGAACCGTCAGACACAACTAATAACATCTGTCAAATCAGATGCTGATTCATTGACTAACACTCTCTGTTGACACTTGTATACTTAAGATTCAATCCACCACAAAATTTGCCCAGTGATGCCATTTTGATATTTTTTAACATTAAAATGGCTGCCATTCGGCCATCTTGAATTTGATCATGGAACAAATACATGTGCATATATGCGACATGACAAATGATGTATATATAAAACTTGAATATGATCGATGAAGGCATGTCAGGGATATGGCTCTGGAACCGCATTCATTTAAACAAAATGGCCACCAGTGAGCCATTTTGAATCCAATCAAGAAATTAGAATACAAAATGATGTGTATAATGACATCCCATAATGCTAATCTATGCACAAAATTTTAACAAAATCCTTATATAAACGACCAAGATGTAATTCTGGAATGGCACGAATGCATAGACGAATGGACAGATGGATACATGGAAGTCAATCCATAAGTCCCCGGTTTCAGGCTGCATCCGAATAGGGACTAACAAAGGACACTAAACCAATGAAACGCTCATGCTACTGAAATGCTGTTCAGGCTAGTGCCCTCTATCATCCAAATAAAATTTACTTTGTTTTCACCAACAACTCAAATTACACAATGCTACCAATGCTTCATACCAAATTTCAGAGTAATTAGTTTGAGCATTCACAAAAAAAATGCTTAAATTATTTTATTAAATTTAAGATTGTGGCCAAATCATGTGACTGAAGTTCAATGTAGAAATGCAGCATGACAAATTCCAAATCAATTACTGTGGTGTTAGTATAAAACTACTTCCTGTTTAGAAGAAATCACAGATGTCGGCCAAACAACTAACCAATCATAAAAAAAGATTTTTAAGCGTTTTTTGTTGTTTTTCAGAACATCCCATATGACAGCAAAAGTCGCAAGACCAATAATATAGCCTATATACCAATAATGCTATTACAAAAAATTCAGAATGTTTAAGACCCTTAGAAAGAGTTCAAAATGGCCACTTCCTGTTTAAATTCGATCCACAATGGCTGCTAAACTAGTTGGACAATCAAAATTCTGAAAGTTAGGTGCACAATATTTTGTTAATGGTTGAATTAGCTTAAACTCTACCCACCACATGTTATGCATATTTTCTGCTCATGAATATTAATATCAACTCAAACCTCACAGGTCACACAAGCAAATGGCAGTTTGTTTGTTTTCGTTATACCATTTCGCGATTACTCCACTAATAATATTTTGCTATTTTTATCACATTTTTTAAAATTTTTGTAAACCAGGAAACTAATAAATAAACTAATAAGTGTGGAGAACAATATAAAAGTATTTTAAGTCATCGAGTGTCTAAACTAAAGGCTCTCCAACAATAATTAATAGGGCAGGAATGCATTATTTCCACCATATTGGATTTTGCAAAGGATTATGGGATGGGAATTGAACCATGGATGGCGTTGTTTCAGGGGGGGGGTTATATCTTTTCCATACAGCCCTGTTAGTACATCAACTGTTAACCGCTCCTGCTTTCAAGCAACTTATTTTTATATACGGTATATCTGATCAGGTCAGAACTGCGCTTGTGCATAGGGAGGGCTCACAAAACTTTATTTATTAATAAATATTAATCAAATTTATTAATTTTGTTATTTAAACTATGATTAGGTATGATACATAATTTAGACAAATGTTGTATACATTCACTTTAAAGCTTATGTTGAGTTTTGATAGAGACTTCCTAGTTAGGGTCAGAGGTTATTGGGTTTGTGCCGACTTGGGTCTGACTGTTCACATACATTTTGGCACAAACTGATTCTGTTTCGAATCTGACAACGTCATTACAGGAACACACCTATTAATTAATTACTGTCAAAACTCAGGTGCTAAGTGTAAAAGTAAATAAAGTATTCATTTGGTATTTGACTTTATAGATATATGAACAATCATCACCATCCAAAGGTTGTGACCTTGTCTAGTAATCCAAAGGTATTCTAAACCACAAATCTTGTGCTAAAAAAATAGGATTGGAAACTTTTTTTTTCAGTTTGGTAAAATAATCACTGTATTTACTCTATTAGTAGTGTATGTGAAAATAAATGTTATCAATAGTCATAATATTAAAGTCATAAGGCCGCCGAGTTATAGGGGGGGGGATTACAAATAGATCCATTTTTAGATAGAACTATTTTTCAGGTTAATTCAAAAACTGTAAAATATTTTAGCTGGAATTAAATTTTGCTGAAAAGGCTTTTTGGCTATTTTGTATGGAATTTATTTTCACCGATTTTCAACGAGTTGAATGTAATGTAATGTAACGGGTATTATTTTCACTGAATCATTCTTTCAGCGAAAATAAAGTATTTTACAGTACTTGTAATTGTTGAGACCATACTGCTAAACTATTTTCACTCAGTATTGCGTTGAGACAACACCATGAAAGTTTTCTTTAGATGCATGGTAACAGCCATCCATTTTAGTACAATACACTAGGTAAAGGTTTAGACATGAAAATAAGATTGATAACCCTGGCAATTACGTAACATTTTGCTTTATCCCCCATCATTAGTCACTGTAACATCCACGTACATTTTTGTCAGTCGTCGGGAAGCAGGTAATGTCAGGGGATTGTGTAAGGGGATAAGTTGTGTGTACTATTGAATGGTGGAGGGATACGTGCACAACTGATTGACGCATTATTTAAATTATAATATAATAATGACGTGATCGATCTGATTAAACTTGAAATGCCACATAATTACATCTGTTCTGTGGCCACGGCTTGCGATATATAAATATATATACCTAGTAGATATATAATATATATATATACGTGACTTTGTGGAGGAGTCTCTCCCGTATGCACCGTTGCACGTTTAATCCGACGTCGTGTTCTTACTATGACCTCGGAAGGTCTCGGAAGAATAGAACGACAACATTGCAGTATGCGACGCTGTCTTGCTCATGATATAGCTATACTGCTCACAATGTAGCCATCACTTCCTGATTTGTAGTTTCCTGCTTCAACTCACTCACCCGAATCGATGTTTACTTTATAACCATAAAAACAACGTCAGCAGAACACATTCACTGCGCACTGCTACATTCATGTAAAACAACGTGACTGACTCAAAATACCCTCTGACCTCTTGCGTCCACGCACTCTCCACACAGAGGGCGCTTTCTCCCAACTTGCCACACACATTCTACAAGGAATATTACAAAAAATAGTAATGGCATGATACAGTCTTCGATTGATAGTTAAATTTGATCAAAATCCATCCTTAAACGACCGAGATCTGATTCTGGAATGCCAGAAATGCTTGATTTTGTTGCATTTTAAAAATTAAAATGGCAGCCCATCTTGAATCTGCTTGTCAAACGAATAAGTGTGCATACGTACGACATAATATATTACGTACATATACATGTAGTTTTAACATGATCGGTCAAGGCATGTCAGAGATACACTGCAGCCCGAACGTAACCTGACTTCCGACTGCCAGTCAGAACAGTGAGTCATCCATTTGAATATGTGTCATTCAAAGTAAAAATGGTGGCGCTTTCGTCGACAATTACTAGGTTTTGATTTTGCCCGATTTGCCGTGCAAGCCCTTTTTTCAACCTCTTGTTTATCATACATACTCATGAAGCAATAAAAGTTTTACAACATAAACTAAAACATGCATTTTCTACAATGTCACAAATACAGGGCAAGCAAAAAACATTATTAAAAGATTTACGTAATCCATGGAACTATAAACCACATAGTTCCATGCGTAATCAGAAGGCTCATAAAATCACGCAGCATTGTAAATATCAAGTCCTAAGTGTTCAAGACCAGAAAATCGTCTACGTGCACGTGAATATTTTGTTCAAAGCTTTGTTCGGTGTTTCGTGATATTTAAGAATACGCCTATACAACGCTTCAAAAAACTGGTCTTTTTACCTGAAATACATTTTTTATATTTACACGACATACTTTAAAAATGCTAGTATTTCGATATTTCTGAAATACCAGATAATAGAGAAACCTTCCAATAAAAATAATGACTACATATACATAGATTCCACATACATGTATAAGTTTATGACCAATCTTTTCATTAAGGACTTCAGCTTACTGCATTCGACTTTCCAACCTGTCGATTTTGCACTTAACCTTTGCAACTTTTCCCGTAACTTTAATCACTTTCCAGCCAGTCTTTTCGACTATACAACCAACTTTTCAGACTTTCCAGCAAACCTGTCAAGTTTGTAACTAAACCTTAAGCAACTTTTCTCGTTACTTCAATGAGCTTTCAAACAACCCTTTCGACTTAACAACCAACGTTTATGACTCTCAAATTAGAACTTTGTAACCATCTTTGCATTCCATTTTTACAAGTTTCTGTTAGCTTTTCGACTTCTACGTTTGTCAAAAAATTCATCCGACTTTGCAGCTGTCACATGAAATACGCTTCACATTATCAAATCAAATCACACACAAAACTAACGTGCGTCCGTCTTACCTTTGTACCAAATTCAAATGAAATCTGTAAAAATGTATCTTAGAAATGGGGAGAGAACTTTAAAAATGACCGCCTGTCGGCCATTTCAAATAAAATTAAGACGAAAAAAAGTATCTGCATCAGTAGCCTACCATGAGTGATGTGAATAGCAAGTTTGATTGAAATCGGCCCAGGCATGTTGTTGACATATTCCAATTTTGATTTGTTGGTGGTTTTTATAATAATAATAATAATAATAAACATTATTTACTAGTAAACTCGATGACTCGATTTCTTGTTCTGCAAACTCGACTAAGCGCATACAACAAGAAAGAGAACATCAAACACTAATAAATTTGTTAGAAGCCGCGTTTAGCAAATTATTATTCCATTTAAAAGCACCTGTGTGTACAAAACTCCTTCTAAGAATATCAGTTCTACTCTTAGATAGGTTAAAATTGTACAGCGACGACGTAATATACGCTCTGCTCACAATTTTGTACATTTGGATTAAAGTTTTTTTTTTTTTTTTTTTTTTTTTGAAAAAAGTCTTTGCGTAAGTTGTCGACTATTTATGTCATACACTATAATAGTCGTATAGCCTTCTTTTATATTTATTTTATTCAAATGTGTGCGCTTTTGGTGAGACGAACTTAACATAGACTGTGTTTTATAGGTTTTTACTAACATTTTACAGTATTTTTGACGCACAAATTTGAATTATTCTGACTTCATCAGCAAGTTTGGTTTGGTTTGTCAATGCTCATCCCTGTCGTGTATGGGATTGATTCATCAGCTATCAAATATCTAGGTTATTTTTTTACCACTGTGGCACGCCGTGAGTAACTGTTTGTGGATTGCTACGTGCCAGTGTACCAGAGTAAACTAATGTCTGTTTAATATTGTCTAAATATGAATAAAACGAGCTCAATGTATCCCGCGATTAACGAGGTCAAAGGCCCTGCGAAGGTCAATGAAGACTGTTCCAACAAAGCGACCACCGTCAATCACAGAACGCCAATAATCGGCAGAACTTGAAGGCTACTTCGAATCATGGTCCAGCACAGAAACCTGATTGGCAATCGTACAGTAATTCATACTTTTTTAATGTGTTTAAAGCTTTGGCAAATATGTTTTTCAGCAATTTTTGATAAGTTAGAAACTACAGAAACTGGGCATAGTTTTCCGCCTTTGATTTTATGCGATAAATAGCAGTAGTACATTATGTGGGATGAGAGAGGGCGCTATTTAGTTTTTTTTTTTTT